TTTGTAGCAGGCACTAAATTTTTCAAATTTTAAACTGATGCCTTTTAATTTCCTCCCTTGAATCATGTTCCCCTGCAACCTCCACCTCCGTGTGGCTTACTGCTCCAAGGCAGGGGAGAACAGTTACTGAGGATTTTTTGACAACAGCTATCATTCACATCAAGGGTAATGCTGGAGGGATAAAAGAAAAACAAACAACAAGAACCAAACACAAAATAAAACAAAAACAACAAACCAGTTGCTGCCCAGTAGATTCCGACTCATGACAACCCCATATGTTTCAGAGTACGGTTTTCAATGGCTGTGATCTTTTGGAAGTAGATAGCCAGGCCTTTCTTCCAAGGCACCTCTGGGTGGTTTTGAACTGCTAACCTTTCAGTTAGTAGCTGAGTGCTTAACCATTCTCACAACCCAGAGCAGGAGCTGGAGGGATAAGGTAAGGTTTTCTCCATAGTGAAAAGAAGATACCCCTCCTGTTAATGATAACTAGGTCATGAGGCTTGTTGTTCTATGTTAAATGGTGGACATGATGTAAAGTAATGATTTTCGATGGGCAGGATAATCCTGTGTTGTGTAGGACTGTCCCTGAAAATACAGACTGCTTAATGTCTCAGGCCCCACTAAATGCCACTCACTTCATCCATTCAACTGGGACTCAGAAAACAAAACAGCTCCCACATATTTGCAAATGATCTCCTGATGAGGTGCAGTGGGAAGTGGTACCATCCACAGTTGTAGACAAAGTAGAGAATGGTGGGAGAGAAATTTGTCCCTACTGGTTACCCAGGAATTGTGCAAGAAGCACAAATGTGAGTTGGTCAGAGTCCTGATTTGTGCTTCCTGTACTTTAGCCTGCAGAGAACCAAATGTGTTAGGTAAGCGAAGGTAACACATAGAGCAGAGGGTCTCCTTACCCCTCTCCTGGGGGAGGGGAAGGGTTACTGGGTTCTGGAGACTTCTCTATAACAACCGGGAATGTAGCTATATTAAAGTCATCTAGGAGTGTAGTGTGGGTAGGCAAGGGAGAACTAGAAAAGTTAACCTCTCCAGGACACTCCAGTGCCTATGTGATATTATTGGACCCAAGAGTTCTCACAACATCCCAGAAGGAAGGTAAAGGCAGCTGAGTTTAGCCAAGGGCCTCAAATGGGCCTGTACTGCCAAGGGGCAAGGTCACCTGCAGCAGGGGCTGTGTTGGAACAACAGCTATGGGACTGGATATAGGATGCAGTAGAAAGCTGGCGGTTCTACAGTATAAGATACAACTAAGGTGAGACAGAATCAAACAGAGAGGACTTTTAGATTTTGACTAAACTGAGAGAAAGCAACTAGCTAAAGACTCCAACAATGCATGCTAGCATGCAAAGAGAAGCCAGATGGCAGTGACCAAGGAAGACAGAGAACTCTGAGCCCAAGGACTCTGACCCTTCCCCTCCCCCAGGAGGTAATGGAGATCACAACCCTCTAGACACTATCTTGGAAAAGAACTGGAGACAGGTAGAAGGGAAGTCTTAAAATTATTGGATTTCACCAGCTTTTCAGTTGGATTTAACCCTGGTTTACAGGATTAAAATTATTTTCCCCCCACTGACTCATTATTTATGGGGGACTCTTAATGGAAACGTGATACGTTATTGAAAAATATAGGAGCTATATTTTCTCTACACATATGATCTACAGTGTGACTTAAATTGCACTCCACTATACATTTCAAATATTTTTATAGTCAATGCCTTTCATCCAAAAGAATGATTTACATGTGGGATCTGAGGTTTGAATGTCTAATTAAATCATGCTTCTGGTGACTACTTATTGTATTTATGACTATGATTGGCCCAATAAAAGAAAAATCTTTTAAGAGTGAGGGATAGATGACAGAGGAAAAAAAAAATGGATTAACCAGCGTTAATTGATTGAATTATGTCCTCCCAAAAATGTGTGTCAACTTGGTTAGTCCATGATTCCC